CACAACTGATTTTGCCCAAATTCATATGAAATGAAAAACTATGGAGCTTCATCAAGGCCAGTGCAAAAAAAGAAAAGCAGAATGTCCCATGTTAAGAGGCCTGGGGTTGGAAGAGAAAAATGAGAGTTTTTAGACAGATAAGATGAAAACAAGGATGGAGGGTATACAGGAAATCATCAAACGAAAAAATCAAGAAGGGGATATATTCCATCAACAAGAATTAGCCTGTAAAATTTGGCAACTTGTTTGTTAGGTACTTTGAAGAAATTCAAGGATTTAGTCCACACTACCCACGGGATTACATCCAAAACTCCCCAACAAGATATTCACAAACTTCTACCATGTAGAACCCAGACTTTTCAAACTATAAATATAAAAAGATGCACTGTAAATCAGCAAATCCAACTTTCAGTCCTGGAGTTGTCAGTAATGAGCCAGATGACCTTGGACAAGTCTCTTAACGTCTCCCGGTGTTCCTTTCCTTACCAATTAAAGCATCAAGACACTTTAATCCCTGGTCTTAAATGAGCCAGGGTGGCATATCTGGAGTTTCTGCACTTTTATTTTTCTTTCCCATCCAGGAGTGACTTTCATTTCCAGTGACAAAGGCCCAGTCTTCCCTGTTTGCTCAGGGAGCCTCCCTGTGGTATCCCCACATACCTCATTTGTTGTCTACCCAAACTGTCCTGAATCATTAGCAGTTTCCTCCCATTATCTGTCTGGTCTTCCCAAGTATATTATAAGCCACTTCATTACTGGGACCACTGTTTGTAATTTTTTATAACCTTCATAATACTGAGCATAATGATTTACATTCAGAAGACACTGAACAAATCTTGGTTCTTTCATTATTAATTTAAGACAGCAAGCATTTTTTTCATTTTTCTCTGTCACTCCCTGATAGTCGATTATGGATGTAAAAGCAGTTTTCCAAACTCAGTGAACTTGCCAAACTAGTGAAAAGAAATCATCTGGCTTTAAAACAGGGGTGGTGAAGATAAACCACAGGGAGAGAAGCAGCCCCTGCAGATCGGGCCCTGCGGACGCACACTCTGCTCATGATTTCTACTAACAGTCTCCCTGGAACATTTAACTCAACTCACTTATATGTGTAAACAGATGATTTGTTACTCCTGCATATATCCGTTTAAAGTTGTCTCCCCCAAATCCCCAAAATTGGGACAGAATGAAAATTTTCATGATTCTCCAGGTTTTTGGGGATCTAATTTTTCTGATGCTGATCCTTCTATTTGCAATATCCTCTTTAGAAATGTCTGTAACTGAATTTTTTTCTCCTGTAGAATAATACACCCAAGGTAAGGATTTTGTGTGTTCAATACATAGTGGCAAAACACGAGTCATGGTTTGGCCACAATGCCCTCTCCATTATGAGGCCTTTTAATTATTGGACAAGAATTATTCTATTCTTGGTTAATTCTTATCATTCTCAACTCTGTGTTCTCCTTATGATCTCTTATATTGTTTTTGTTTTTTATTTGTTCAAATTAGTTATACATGACAGTACATTGTACATGAATGGAGTATAACTTCTCATTCATTTGGTTGAACATGATGATGAGTTACACAGGTCATGTAATCACATATGCACACAGGGTAATAATGTCCGATTCATTTTACTATCATTCCCATCCCCATACCCCTTCCTCTCCCATCATTCCCCTTTGTCTAATCTAAACTATTTGTATTCTCTATTCTTCCCTCCACCCTGTCCCCTGTTGCCCTTGTTGTGAATTAGCATCTGCATATCAGAGAAACATTTGGCCTTCCATTCTTTGGGATTGGCTTATTTCACTTAGCATAATATTCTCCAGTTCCATCCATTTATCAGTGAAAAATGCCATAATTTCATTCTTCTTGAAGGCTGAGTGATATTCCATCCTAAGAAAACCTGGAGTGGAACCACCATTTGACCCAGTCCTCCCACTCGTAGGTTTCTACTTAAAATCAGCAGACTACAGTGATGCAGCCACATCAATGTTTACAGCTGCTTGATTCACAATAGCTAAACTATGGAACCAACCTAGGTAGCCTTCAACAGATGATCTCTTATTTTGAATTACAAAAATTAAAAAGGTTAACTAATGTTCTTCAAAAGGAAAAAGTCTTGCTTCACTTTCTCAGTGGGTAAACTGCAGCACATAGGAGAGAACATCATTAGTGAAGATATCTCTGCCCTTTTGAAATACGTATTTGTTCTTGTCTTTACTGGCCTATTAAGAAAATTGCCATAATTAAGAATAAGCTAAAATGTGAGAGTAAATAGCATACTCACCCATGAGACTGGAGCCTTTAATGTTCTTATCAATTGTTTGCTTACCCACTGGTTTGTAAAATTTCAGTAATTCACAGATGGATCCTCTTATTGGTGCTGGGAATTCATAAAGTTCCACTGAGCCCACTAATTTCTGTTCCCTTTCACTACCATTCATCATTGGATTGTGTAACTCCATTTTTGACATTAACAGCTCTGGGAGAACATTCTACTATACTTGAAATGAAACAATCATAATACTGCTTAAGAAAAAAAAGATATAACACTTTGTACCCATAATTCTGCCACCACTGGTGTAAATGTAAATTTTTAAAAATAATAATTGGTACCCAGAGGACAATGCCAATTAACTGCATACTTTCGTTTGATGAAAAGCAATATTTCCTCCTTGGTTCTTTAATCAAGTTGTCTTTTGTTTTTGTTTTTTTTTTCCTTTTATTTAATGTCTGGTTAATCTTGAAAGAAAAAATTGTCAGCATACTTAAAATAGTACAAGGGGAGAAGATATTTTATGACTCTTTAAAGCAGTAATAAAAACTGTGTTTTAAAGTAAAGCATTTCTTTATGGTCCAAAAAAGGCTGAGTGTGCTCCCTGCAGGTACTCTGTGAGGCTGGCTAACAGTAGATGCTCAATAAATGTGTATTAACTGTATGATTGACAAACACATTTAATGTTAATGACCACTTGGACAAGATAGCATACACTTTTACAGCAATGAACTATTCCTCTGGTATATGCTTTACTCATAACTGATGCTACCTTAAAATTTTTTGCCACTTTTTGAAGCTGCATAGTATATTCAAACACAGTAATTTCCTTAATCCTAATACCCTAGAAAGTAAGTAGAATTTTCCCCTAATCCACAGATGAGGATATAACCTGAAGAACCTCATAGCCCCTCCCTTGACTCCAGAGCTTTCCCCTTGCCTTACCTGGCCATGGTCCAAGAGTTAAATTTCTACTGTAAAACTGTCTCTCATCAATCAAAATATTGAGGGATGAAAAAATATGGTATCTTGGATTTGCTTCAAAATAATCTGGGAAAGTCAGGGAGTAAGAAGTGCACGGGGATAGAAAAGACCTAAGATTTACATCAAGTAGCTAATGGTTGAAGCTGGCAGGGAAGGCAGTGGGCACAAGAAGTGGGCTTTGCTTCTATGTTTGAAAGTTTCCATAGAACAGAATTTTCTTAAATAACTGAGAACTGAAAATAAAGAAATATGTGAAATGGTCCTTCTCAAGGTGTTTTGCTCAAGAGGATTTTTTTACTGTTTGATTTTAAACTAACTCCACCCACCCCCATGTCAGTCACACGAACTTCATGTTAAGTGACTCTTTCACATCCCACTGGAAGTTGGTTTAAGTAGCTTTGCAGAGTGGAACTTAATAGAAGGCTCCAGATACTTAAGACATATAAAAATAACTGACTCTCTTGCAATCTAGTCTACTATTAGGAAAGCATCGTGGCACACATAGAACAACGTATTTCTTATTGTTGCCTGGCTTTTAGAGTCAGGCAGTAAAATAACAAGCCATAGTAAGCTCTTAGTCCCTGTGTATGAGATTTAACTGTGTTCATTCAGAGCAATAACTCCAAGTTATATGCTCCTAAGCATGAGCTGAGGCCTTCGAAAATCATCATGGATTGTTCTGTGAAGTTACATTAAGGTGGCCCAACACTTAAAGCAACGAAGGTAAGAGTTCCCGACATTGAATCTTCAACTTCTGGAATCCAAACACCTCAAGAGAAACCCATGAAACAGTAGTGCTCTCCTTCTTTTTAGAAAGAAATTCACTGGAGTTACTGTTATTCAAGAAAGTCAGAACTGTCTCTTCTTGGAGCTCAACTTCTTATAAAATTTTACCAGCTGAAGTACAACAAGTCTTCTGGTCCTGGGAAGGAATTGAATGATCAGGTACCTTGACCAAGAATTAGTTTTATGATCCTTCTTCCTTGGGCACCACCGTGAGGACAGAGGAAAAGGACACTTAGTTCGAAAGATCCTTTCCATGATCCATGCTGGGGGAGACCCAGAGCACAAGCAAACCATGGATCCATCGTGGGTCAAGGTTAAAACAAAGGCACAAAGGTGGGGAAAGAAGGCAGCAACAAGAGCATGGCCGACACCCCTGCTGGCACATGTGGAAATCCACAGCTTTAGCACCCTTTCTTCAAGCCTTGTTCAGAAAAACATGTATATGTCAAAATAATCTACAGGTTACTGGAAAAAAAAAATTAAAAATACATTCTGATTTGAAGCATTGTAACTTTTTCATGACCACAAAGAGCAATGGCAGCAATGACAGAGAGACCAGTAAAAAAAAATTTTAAAGGCAAATGTTATTTCCATCTCTGAATGAACTCCCATTTCATACATGTTCCCAAAGGTAGAGATTGCTGAAGAAATTAAATATAAGCATCCACAGCTGTTTCCACAAAGACCATGATTTAAACTTGAAGAACTGCCAGGAGAACTTTTTGACACTTCTGATTTTGTAAAAATATACAATGAAGTATGGATTAGTTGTTTTGGAAGGCCAGTCATATTGAGTTATTTATATCTTTAAAATAGAAAAGGGATATAATCTGTAACTACATAATACTGAAATATTTCACATAACAAATATTTTCCTAACTTTGGATTTTCCTCAAAACAAGCCAGAACATCTTTAGACAGTCTAGTAGATCGAGAGATGAGCACTCACGTGAGATAGCAGGGCCAGCTCCTGGTGACATGTGACGGCATTCCTGTTGGCTTCCATAAAATATCTCTGCGTGCGCCTCCGTTCCCGTTCCAGTTTCTTCTCCAAGGCCAGCTGGGATGTCGATAAGTTGTCTAAATACTTCATCATGACATCTGATATCATCGAACTGACTTCTACAATGTCGGGACGGATTTCTGCATCGGGAGTCAGGCACCTGAGACAAGGGATGAGCCAATTACAACACTGAATGAATGTCAGGACCAGACCTGGGATGTGGAAGGTCAAAATTAAACTATGCTACAGAGTCCACCATGGTATCTGCACCCAAGAAAACCCGGATAAGATAGGAATCAAACGTAAGTTTGAATCCAACACCTCCCAAAGGGTATTTAGAGAGCCAGGGAGAGAGAGGGAGGCAGGACTATTTCTTTGCATGTAGGCAGGTAGGCAAGGGCCACAGGTTGGTGTGAAGCTGTTCCTTAGGCTTCAGTATAGGCAGAGGGGCTCATCATCATCCCCTGTGTGGGTCAACTGCCTTCTGAAGTTACTCTGAGCTCACTGGTCAGTAGAACAAAGAGGGACCCCAGTACACAGTCCCTGATGATCACCTTTGATGCACCAAAAGGAAGGACAGTTTTGGCGGGGGGGGGGGTGTCACAACTTATTGGCCTTTTCCAGCTGAATGTTGTCATTAACAATACACTTTGATGATTCAGTCTTACAAAACACAAAGTCATAAGTATAAAATATAATCCAGTTACTTAGAAGTTGAAGATGTCTATAATAGGGTCAAAATAAAACTGGATCAACTTTTTAAATTATGGAACTTCACTGGGCACCCAAAAGAGCAGTCCCCCAAACCAGGAGGTCTGAACTGAGAACAAGAGTCTTGCCTGGCAGCATAGTCTGTAGAAGATAAATGAGGAAGTATCTGGACCTTTTTTTTGTGACTGGCTGTTACATGTCATTCTTTTTAAAGCAACTGGGAGTGTTTAAGTTGATTCGACTGCGGAGGATTGGTTTGATTTCACTGAATCATGCTGACAAGGATATGAAGTTTATATTTTGCATTTTGTTTATGATAGGAGATAGAATTTCAGGGAAATCGTGATGATTGAAGTTTTGGATGAGCAGTTATAGACAGTCTGCCATAGGGCATCTCCAAACCGTCATCTTCAATTTTATTTGTCTTTAACAAAAGTAATTTAAAGTAACTAATTTGACACATTGCATGCTAATATTTCCTATGATTTTGGAAGTATATCATTCAGTATAGTAAAGGGAGTATTGTTCATGTTACAGAAACCAAATACCAAGATCATTCAATTACTTGCGGTATCCAGAATAGAATGTTATCTATTTTTTAATTCAAATTCTCTAATTGTACTGAATCATGCATACTTTTCAATCAAATTTAACTTGAATTTTGAGGAAAATATCTAACTTTCACATCAGTATATGACTTAGCAACACATCCTCACTCAATCTATCTTTTGCCTGCACTGCTTTCTCCATCAGTCCACAAATATTCTTCACAACAGAAGTCAAAATGAGACTCAAAATGATAATTTGCCAATGATTCCCTCTTATTGAGTTTATTAATCAGGACTAAACCACATAAGAGTTTTAATCAGATTCTAAGACACTATCATTTTCTGATCTGTGTTCATCTTTTTCTTTTTCAATTCTAAGGCAGTGGGCTCCCACTATGGTTATAACAGGCACTCTGCACATCTGCTGAATTCATATTTAACAAAGTTCACTCTGTGCATGTGTTATGTACAAATATAAGCAAGAGAATGTGGGAATAGGGCCAGCTACATAGTCTGTGGATGTCCCCTGCAAATGAAAACAGGGAGCTCCAGTGGGAACTGGAAAAGTCAAACTGCCCTTCTTACAGTTCAGCATCCCAACTGATGTTAGATGAGCGACCCCCAAGAGATTACAATCTCTGTGCAGGTGGGATGCACCTGGAACACAGGCCAGGGGTGGGAAGAGGCACCCCCTGAGTTGTCCACCAAGTGTGCCATGATGTTGCCAGCCTAGTCAGGAGAGGTCTTTTCTTTGCTTCCCGAGATGCAGCAGGGCACTTGCTCCATCCTGACATGCGTGGGGTTATTAATGATGGTGGGATGTGATGGTCATTATTATCCAAAGTACAGGTATGAAGACACGAATTGGTGTGAATTTACTATGTATACAACCAGAGATATGAAAAATTGTGCTCTATATGTGTAATAAGAATTATAATGCATTCCGCTGTCATATATAAATTTTTTTAAAAGAAAGAATTTCAGGACCTTATATACAAAGTCTTAAACCCCAAACTCAGGACCATTTGAGCATAGGGGCTTGCACTAGTCACAGGCACATAAAGCCAATTCTGTGCTGTGCTATGATGACATATTTGTAAAGTTTCTTGCTTTTGCTCATAATCACAAAAGAAGCTAAGTTGTTGAAATTTGCCTTTTAATTAAATCAGATTCTTCATCTACTTTTGCTTAATTAGCCAAAAAGATTAAAGCTGCTAAAATTCTAGGTTGCCCTAGTGTTATTTTGACTACCTTATGAGCAAAAAAAAAACCAAAAAACAACCCTGTATCTAGACCTTTTGTTAGCACAAATATTATAAATTTTCAGATTGCAAATATTTAAAATAATTCAAGATGACATTAGCAGGTAAATTGTTAGCTGATTATTTTTTAACAAAAAGCAGCATGTTTGTTTCAGAAATCATGTGGTTATTTTAAAATATTATGATAAATGGGAAGAGAAATTATCTCCCTCTCCTGGCATTTAGCTATCTCTTCCTCTCCCAAGGCTCCTCCCCACCCTATATTTGGCCTCATTAGAAAAGGTATCAGCAGGGAGATGCAGTTTAGCATCATAATTAGTATGAAGGGCCAGATTGAAAATTCCTCAATAGCTTCCAAGTCCAGTAAGATAAAATTAAAATTCCCAGAATGCCATGTAAGGTCCCAGTTGATCTGGTACTTATCTCCCTCCTCTCTTTCCCATCTCCCAGCCACACATCAAATGCTCCTACCTGCACTTTTCCAAACAGTCCAGGGCTCTCCTATGCCACATATTTCTTTGCTTATTTTAGACCATCTGCTTGATTTTTCTTCTTGATAGTACCCTGAGCTTTCCCAGATACCATCTCTTATCTTTCTGCCCAAATTCACATTTTCAAGTCTCCATTGGGAAGACTATTTGGAATGCTTTCAGAAAGACTTACTGTTCCTCTTTTATATGTTCTCAATGCACTGTGTACATTTGAAGTACTTAAAACTATCATAATTATTGTCTTGCAATGGCCTGATTCACCGCTGGAGGGGAAACTTCTTGAGGGGCAAGACGTGTTTCCACCATCACTATGATCTGAGAAGTCAGCATGTGAAATGGAATCTGGGTCCTGACAGCTATCCAGCAATGAGCGAATGAATGAAGCAAACTCAGCACCAACATCTAAAGAACTGACCTATCCATAGCCCAAATGGATTGACCACAGCCTTGTGCCCTCCCAAGAACATCTCCAATCAGAAGTTTCAGTCTAGTCTCATTGCTCTGAAATAACTCCCAGCTTCGGTTATATCAGAGAATTTCCACTGAGTGAGTCAAAGTCAAACACACACTGTAGATTGATAGAATATCCTCAGCCTGTATGATGCTCCAATGATTTTCAGATAAGCATCAAGTCTTGTTCTAGAAAAAATATGGGATGTTCCCCTCTTCTCACCCACTTTGTCCCCACAACTCTGAGAGATGAGATGGAGAAAAAAAAAGTGAGAGGAATACAATGTTCAATTGTATTCATTTCATGTTTTATGAAACAAGAGTTGAAGTGGGGGTAAAAAATGTAAAGATCCACTTGCTCTACTTGTCCTTAGAGCTCACGGCTAGCATTAGCTTCTTTAGTCATTATGACTGCCTCTGAAACAAAGCGCCAGACAGCTTATGCAACCAGGCACAGAGAGAGAAAAATAAGGCAATTGAAATATTTTGTGCATAAAAGGAAATGTTCTTCCTTTTAAAAAAGAAAACAGACAATACTCTCCTAAGAGTGTACTGGAAGGTAAAAATAGTCATGCTGGTACTGGGCAGAGCAACAAGATGTATTTATTTTCTACCCCAAACTCTAGAGCTGCTAAGTTATTCTCTTAATTTAAAAGCTTGCTAGAAAAGAAAAGTTTCGTTAACAAAATGTGCTTATATGCCACATAAACAAACAGGAAAAAGGAAAGATCCTGCACATTAGAGATGCAAATTGTGTGAGCTCTACTTGACAAGAATGAGATGATAGTAAAGTGGAAGAAAGAAGATAGACGTGACTGGAAGCAATGAACAGTTTAAGAATGATTACAGTAAACTTTCCCCTCTCTTAGAAGCCTCTGTCAAGCTACAGTGATTGGCTCTGAACCTAATAATTTGCTGAGACTTTAATTGCATATGTCCCTTGCATTGTTCTTGAAGAAAACGGGAGGCTAAGAAATTAGGAAATTTGAAAGTGTTCCCTAATTCTCTTGGAACTTAACTTTTAAATACTAAAAATACAAAGCAAATTAAACATGCAATCGCATGTAACTCACAACTGATTTTGGTTTTATGTCAAATTTCCTAAAGATAAAACTTTGCAATTGTGAACCCAGACAATGAGGAGTCTTGAATAGCTTGAAATGAAAATACCGTCTGTTACAGAATGCACCCTGCAATCTTAATTTACAGTCAGTTTGCAAAATTAAATTGTCAGTTCTAACTTATTATGGCATCTTAGTATTTTAAATGGAAAGCACCTTCAAAAACATTTCATCTGGAATCCCCTAATAGGTGATCATTCACCCTCTGGTGACAGTGAGCTCACAACCCACCAGTGGCCTCCTGTACGGTGTATGCCTCTAATTCTGGCCTACACTTTGTCGTGGTGAGCTGACCTTATCCTGCTTGTAACTTTTACCCCCTTTAGGTCTTTGCTCCTTATTCTGAAGCTCTATGGAATAAAGCCCATTCTTCTCGTATTTTCAAAATCATTCCACTTTCCCACTTAATCAAAGTATTCTGAATCTTCTTAGGATCATGCCCTCAAATATGCAGACAACATCCACCCCGGGGTGGTAACGATCCCACCTCTCTCCTCCTCCTCCATCACCCCTCCGTCAGTCACCATCAACTGTGATCTCCTCTTCCATTCTCATGCCCTCCCTCTGCTCCCCGTAGAGCAGCCAGAATGATCTTTGCTAAATAAGACATTTCACGATGCGTCAATCTGCTGATAACCCGTCAGTCCTCCCTGCAGTGCTACAGTTAAAGATCCAGAACCCACAACACAGTCCACAGCACCTACAGCCTCTGGCCCTTGTTGCCCTTCCTGCCCCAAATCATTTTCTGGCTTTTTCTTCCTTACTTGAGATGCTCCATCTCCACTTTCTTCCCATTCCTCAAATGAACCAGTGAAGCTTTCACAGATGCTGATCCAGGAAATGCTTTCTCCACCCCTGTTCACCATTTGAGAATTATGGGTTATTCAGGTCTCAGGTTACATGTCCCTTCTTCAGAAAAACAGTCTCTAACTCCTCGTACTAAGCCAGATCCTTCTACCATCTTTCATGGCCCCCTTTATTGCCCTTCATCACATTTATAATTTGTTTTTTTATACTTAATTCTGCAAATAATATCATATACTTTCATGGTAGTATCCTATTTCAGTTGTCATTTCACATAATAATGTTATTAATAACAGTATCCAACTTTATAGAGGTTTTACAACATAAAAAGTGTGTCAGCAGCATGATCTTAGTTAAGCTTCAAACAAAGCCCACGCGGTAGTTAATATTGCTAGCCACACAGCACAGACGAGAAAAAATGAAGCTCAGACGAGTTAAAATGAGTGGCAGAAGAGGGTTTAGAAGCCAATGCAGTCTAGAACCTAGTGATGCTCTAAATTTTTGCACTGTAATGTTGCTATCTGACTCCCCTCAGCCCCTCGCCCCCCACACTGGTCTACTGATCCTAAAAAATGTGTTGATGGCCAGGGAACCTTTCAAAAGGGACAGTCCTGCAGCTCAGTTGCACAAAGTCAGACTGCTGCCTCTGTACCTTTTTCTCTGGTATCTCTCCCCTTCCCTCTATGGCACTCAACTACCCATGAAAAGGAGAAATTAAATGAGCAAATATAGTATCTTCATCTTGCCATCTCCAGAGACTTCTTCAATATATAAGGTACTTTCCAAAAACAAATAACAGAGAAGAGGCATGAATCATAGAAATAAATTGTCTGGATTCATTGGCAACAAGGCATGACTGAGAATATGTGAAACTCAGATGATTTAGGAAGAGAATCCAGCCCGTTTCCCATAACATTAACAGTGATAACTGCCCAAACTGTGCAAGTATTTGCCATTTCCTCAACCCTATGCCAAGTGGTTTGCATATGTTACTTTGCGTAATTGTCACATGGACCTGATGAGGTTGGTACTATTACATTACAATCGCCATTTTACTGGTTGAGGAAACGCAGATGCAGAAACCCCTTGGCCACCATCTGCAGTTCACAGCAAGCGCTCTGCCCCTGCTAGGCCTGGCTCCACAGCCTGAGACTCGTAAGACTGTAGGCCAGCATTATGCCAAACAAGAAAGGTTCAAGAAATAATCCTAAAATAGAGTAGGGGTAATTATTAGTAGGAAACATGAACCAGAGGGGAGAAGCCTAGGGAAAGCAGACTACCCTTAGTAACATGACCATTATGGTCCATCAGAGACAGAAGCCAAAGCAAGGTTTAAAACACTTGGGAAGGGGATGAAAAAGATTCCCTTTGGGCTGACTCTAGAATTTCTACAGTCCAAGATGAGGATCTGGTACAGCTCAATGGAGCACAGAAATCACATTGGGCTGACTCGACTACCTGAGATGGTCTGGAAATAGCAATCAGCCAAACCAAAGTGATCCATTCACACATCCAGGGTCTACTCTGTGCCGAGCACTGTTCTGGAGACTAAACTGGTAAGAAGCAAGATGACAGAGTTCTTGCTCTTGAGTTTACTTTGTGGTAGGGAAGAGACAGACAATCAACAAACAAGGGTTTATGCATGTGTATATTTCAGGGGTGATGGGGCTGAGTTTTATGAAGCAGGCAAGGGGGCTAGAGAGCTCTGAGAGGCAGTGGGGTGGGCAGAGTGGGCTCCAGTAGAGAGCCAAGTGGAGTGAGGGCCTATATCATGCATACATCAGAGGGAAGAGTTTAGAAATAAAGTAAAAGCAAGGACAAAGGAGTAGGAGGAGATAGCTGGAACCTAGGGAGCAGGAGAAAGAGCGGAAGGGGCCAGGTGAGAGACGAGTGGGGACAGCCTCATGGGGCCAGGAGGGACTGGTCAGAACTTTGAGAATGCATGGAAATAATGACTTTCATTACTTTCCTACTATTTTGATGGCCAGAGCTTCTGATTTTCCTTGAAAACTTACTATAAAGGACAATATTGCCAATTGAAGAATTAGACATGAAAAGGTATCTACAATTTTATCCTTGGACACGACCTTCTTCAGTTTCCTGTGTTCTCCTCCTGGCTTTTTTCCATATTTGTGCAGGCTTTTATGCTTCTTGTCATACTTCCAGTTTCATATCCTATTTTCTTCACTTAGTTTCATGTCACATGCGTTTTACAAGTTGATAAGAAGCCTTCCAAATAATCATTCTAGTGTTTGCATGATATTTTCTACTATGTCCTCTTGGATATTCCAATAGCTTCCAGAAGATTCACGACTACTGGTGATACACAAACATCTTTCCAGGTTTGGATTAGGTGGGGACCCTTCCCCTCCACCTAAATAGTGAATGTTTATAGACGTGAGATACTTCTTGACGGTCCCTATATGTTGGAAGTTGTAAGATTAATTACCTGCTGATGGTATCTGTCACCTTCTCAGAGTAGATGCCTTCTGGCACTGGTTCATATACCGCCTCCACTATCTGCAAAACAAACAGACTGCAGTGGTAGATGTGATGGGGCTGTTGGCATCTTAGAGCAATGATCCTTAGCCACAACATGAAGTGCATGCACAAAATTTAATCAGAGATAAAAACATCCCAAAAATTAACATCAATTAAACAGTTCTAGAACACTGAATTATATTCCCCATGCTGGGCTACAGTTCACCTTAGATTCATAATAAAAAGATGCATGGGGTAATACCATATGCTGGGTTGTGGGCAGTCCAAACTGCAATTAAAAATAAGAGACCAGGGGCTTGGGCTGTAGCTTAGTGGCAGAGCACTTGCCTAGCACATGTGAGGTACTGGGGGTTCCATCCTTAGCACCATATAAAAATAAACAAATAAAGGCATGGTGTCCATATATAACTATAAAAAATTTTTTAAAATAATAATAAGAGACCAAAAGTAACTTGATATATTCATATTTTATAAATTTCTATGATGAATGAATGAATGCAGTTGGATATGGAAATGTGCATAGCATGTGGCCTATATTTAGAAGAAAGGAGAAAAAAATAAGTCGGATCGTGCAGTTAATAAAGCAATGTTGTTTTCAATCAACATTTGAATAAAATCACAGAATTTCTGTTAGGAAGTAAATGAATGGCCTGTTGGCAACACGAGACCTTTTGTCTTCCAACTTTCCTTACTTTTGTAGCCAAGGAGAGCATGTTGGTGCTGCAGAAGGGAGGACTCAGGGTGGCCATCTGATACAGGATGCAGCCTGCCGCCCAGACGTCAGCCTTCTCCCCGTAAGGCTCGCTCTTCAGCACCTCTGGGCTGAAATATGTGTAGGATGTTAATAGATACCCAGAAATGAGGGGGGCGGGGGCGCGTCAGCACAGGAAGAAGACCCAGTTTCCAAACTGTTATTGGAGATATCTTTGAAAAGGACTTGCAACTCCTAATCAAAATTTCAAGTAAACATACTAAAAGGTATCTTGGAAACCTCCCAGCCTCAGAAGAATCAAGAAGCACAACCAAGCAATTCAGATTAAGCACTAAATATCAATAAAACATAGAAAACATGACCTGGTATGTGTCTGAGGATGTTTATTTCTGGAAAGAACAACCCCTCTGTGGTAGGTGAAATTGTCCGCCCTAGTTCTTTCTTGCTCTAGAGAACTTGCTGGGCATAGTTCGTTTACTGACTCCTGCCTTCAGTTTTGACTGTGTTTTCTTGCTTTGGCCAATAAAATGGGGGAAGTGACAAGTGTGCCAGAGCAGCGTCTCAGTCTTAACAGGTATTGAATGTTTCCACTTGTCCTGCTAGGAGCTTCTCTCCATTACCAAGAGAAGAAGGTGTCTGTCCTAGGTAGCTGCTACCTTTGCAGCATAGCCTATAAACCTGCAGACCCTATGAGGCTAAGAAGAAATGCTTATCATTGGATGTCACTGAGATTTTGTGGTGATTAATAGTGCAGCGTTAGTATTGGGGAAAAAAAACTGATATGGCTTCCTCACTCTGCTAATCAGCTCTAGGTTATAAGGTGAGAGAAGAGCATATTTAAATATGTTTCTGGAAACAACACTAGCTACCATGTTCACCTCTTCTGAAGTGGCCACACAGTTTCAACGAGTTTCCAGTTGAAGTTAATCTGTGATAGTTTATGGGTCTGTCACTTATAATTTAATGTGGAAAGGAATATTGTTTCCTTGGATGTTTCTGATAGAATTTTTTTTCATGTTTATAGAATAAAGCTCAAGTAAGAACTAAAAGCTTTCAATAAACATGCCCTGCTAGGATTTGGGTCTTGGATCTTGAATCATCCCCCAAAGGGATATGGTGCTATTGAGAGGTGGTAGAACTTTAGGGAGGCAGGACCTAGGCAGGAAGTTAGGTCACTGGGGACATGCCTGTATGGGGATGTCCCAGCACCTTCCTGTCTCTCTCTCTGTTTCCCAGATACCATGAGGTGAGCAGCTGCATGCTCCCCTGATGAGGTGCAGCCTCACCACAGTCCTAAAAGCAATGGGACCAACTGGCCGTGGACTAAAACCTCCAAAATCATGAGAAAAAATAAGCCCTTCCTCTTTTGAAATTAATTATCTTTGCTGTTTTACTGCAATAATGGAAACACATACACAAACATAGTCTCAAATTAAGTAGTTTGATAATCCAATTCTATAATATACCTTTAGGTCAGGGCTCAGCTCTCTAAATTAATGGAGTAGATATTAAGATTTGGCTTTGACAGTGGATTAAGGCATAAAGAAGCTTGTAAACCAAGATCAGAATAATCAGGGTAGGTATAAGTCAGAATTAGTTAGAGAGAATAAACAAGGAGCGAGCCACAATGGCACACACCTGTAATCCCAGCAGCTTGGGAGACTGAGGCAGGAGGATGGCAAGTTCAAACCCAGCCTCAGTAACTTAGCAAGACCATAAGCAACTCAGTGGGACCCTGTCTCTAAATTTAAGAAAATATATTTTAAAAGGGCTGGGGATGTTGCTCAGTGGTCAAGCACCACAGGGTTCAATATTTGGTATCAAATTAAATAAATAAATAAATAATAAACAAACAAGGAGTTACTATTCTTGTGAGAAAACAAGACTAATTCCAAATTTAAGATTTATAGTAAAAATTTCAGGGAAATGTGTTATTTCTAGGTCTCTCGGTTAACTATTTTCAAATTTAGCATTTTTTTTTTAGTTCAATAATATGGCAATGGGACAAAATTTTCCAGGATTCTGCTGGGTCTAGGAGTCCGGGTATTTCCCATTATCCCTTCATGAGCTACTTATATTTAAAAATGTCTTAAGAAGAAATAGCATCCTCATCAGAAAAAATATCTTTCACTCCCTACAGACCAATTTCCCACGTTGTCATCTCTGAGAACTCAGGAGATTTGTTTTATGTTTCCAGGCTCATGAAGCAGATGCTCCACCATGTCCCCCCCCCATCCCCGTTCCACTTCCTGTTCCTTCTGTGCTCCAGCCAGCATCTCCACTTTTTTAGACAACCACCTTCAATATTTTTTTTTAATCAAAAGACAATTTTTGAATACAGGAGAAAGCACCTGTCAGAATACAGTTTACCTGTTTATATTTTTCTCATCTTTATATCTCCCTCTTTTTCTCACTAGAGACCACAAAATCTTCCCATCTCTCTTTTGCAATGTGGCTTTGTAGTTTCTCCAATCCTTGATTCTGTGCTGGGTCATATGACTAACTTTGGCCAATGAGATAATAGCAAAAGTGATGCCAGAAAAGACTTAGAAAGCTCTCTGGGGCTTGTTGTTTCCTGCTCTTGACATCACTTTGATCAGTACCACATGATGAGAAATAGGCACACCTGCTGGATGATCAGCAACACATGACCCAGTTCCTCCAATAGGCCTGCCCCACAGCCAGCTGGCCTCAAGACACAAGTGACAGGCATTGAAAACTAAGGGACCACACAAGTAATCGAGGCCAGTCCCATACAATGATCAATCAGCAACTCCCCTGGAGCCAGCCCTGTTATCCAGCCTCCAGTACATTGAGGGGGAGAAAAAAGGCTATTGTATTAAGACATGATGTTTTAAGGTAATTTGTCAAAACAAAGTTAACTTTCATCAAAGTCAGCTTTCATCAGATTCTCAAAAGTTGTCAATGTGCCCCTGAAAAAGACTGAGATATCACTTCTCTGGAAGATAATAGGAAACACGGAAAGTAAGAGATAAACAACACAGTTGCCAACCATCACACTGCTTCTGGGATAAAACTTTAAAATTCTCTAAGGTCAAAGAGCTTCCTAAGAGATAAAAGCCAAAGGAAACTCTACTCTAGCCACAAAGTTCTCTCCCCTGGGGGTGAAGGTTAGCGAATCTGATACTGCTCTACATGTGAAATGGAATTGAGCTGTCACCTAAATGATGGCAGAAACCAAGTTTCTCACTGTTGAGTGGGAGATTACAGGAGGAAGGGTACTTTACCACACAGGTCATGGATCAGAGTAGGAGAAAACAGTATGATCCCATGTTTAACTTAATGTTGATATAGATAGCCAGATACAGAGAAGTATTTATAGGCAAGTTCATATGCTTAGATTAGTACACACCTGTATCTCCTTGCTCTGCCAGATGGGAAGACGTAGAAACTAAGACACTCCAGTAGCAAAAAAACCACACTGAGCACTAAACCATGGTTTCTAACACCATTCTCTAATATAAAGAATTGAGGCTTCTTGGAGAAATGGCTGATTCTAGGACTCAGTCAGGAAATATGTGAGATTTCTTTTTTAAAAGACAAAAAAAAAAAAACCCTCACAAAGATGGAAGTATTTCACATGGATGAAGAGGACAACTTCAAGGGCTTCTAACAGGCAAAGATGAAACAATTTAAGAAACAAAACCAAAAAAAAAAAATCATGCATTAATCAGGTTGGGCTACCATAACAAATACCATAGACGAGGTGATTAAAAGACAGACATTTCTTCTTCACATTCCAAAAAGTTGGAGGTCCAACAAATTCAGCTCCCAGTAAGGGCTCTATTCCTGGGTTGCAGCCAGTTTCCTTCTCATGTGTTCTCAGGTGGTGGAGGGAAAGAAGCAAGCTGCATACCCTCATGACTTCACCCAAACCATTTGCTTTCCAAAGTCTCCACATCCAAACACTTATCACATTGGAGGTCAGGACTTCCACACATGAATTTGGGGTGATCCAGTCTTGTCCATGGCAATAGTATTGGATTATAACTCAAAGGACACAATAAATATGCACGAGTCCATTCTGATATAAATAAATGACTAAATAAATAATTAAGGGACATGGACAAATATTTTGTGCAGAAGAATTCCAAATAGATATTACGTCTTCAAGGAAAGGAAGAATAACCTCCCATTTCTTAAGTTTGAACACACAAAGTACTTTTCTTCCAAAGATTAAGTTATGGAAAGGGAGGGAGAACATTGACAAACACTATCTCAAGTCAGGGAATCAAGATTAACATAACAGGTGATCAATCATTTTGGTAATATGTAACTCTGATAAGATATGATGGGAATAACATTTTGCATCTATAACTTTCCTCCAAAAAAAACCCACATTTTTCTGGCATGCCAATGAGAAAAATATGAGACAGACCCCAATTAAGAGAAATTCTCTTCAATACCTAACCAATGGTCCTCAAAGCTCTCAAAGACAATTAATAACTAAGATAATTAATAACAAAAACATTAATAACAAGACAATAACAAATCATTAATAACAGACAACTTGAAAAATGGTCACAACCAATAAGAGCTCAAGGAGACATGGCTTCTAAATGTAATGTGGTACCCTTGATGAGCTCCTG